CCTCCCCAAAAAAATAAATCCAGGCAAAAATCCTACTGTCTCGTTAAGGATTTTTGGGTTTGGGTTCTTTTTCCCTTTGGACTGAAGATTGACAAGAGGGAGGCAGTTTTCTCTTGTTTGGTCTCAGTTGTTCATTCTTTTCTTATCAGCATTACAAGGTACAAGGAGCTATGTGCACTATGATAGAAAAGGGTAAAATGGCCAACAAAGATCTTCTTCAAGGTCTTTTATATGTCCATTTACCCAATTAACAGATGCCAACTAAATTATTTTCCTTAGTGACCCAATGACCCAACACCTGTGTGCTGCACTATGGTATTTTCTATCCAATCACTTACTACTACCCAAAAACCCCGAGGAGAAGAGCATGAAGAAGAAAGAAGAAGGACAAGAGACAACACCCTAAATCCTCCACCTTGTCTCCTGTTCTCTAAACTACTTTTTCACCCAGTGATTTAAAAAACTTTCTAATCTACACACTTACACTTTTTCTAACTTTAACATTTGTTTTCATGTATCACCATGAAAACATGCTCATGAATTTCATATTATATGAAATTCAGTGTTTCTTTGAATCCTAGAACTAAGTATTAGAAACAATGGCACACACTCTGTATCTCAGACTCCAACATCCCACCTAAGCTGGTAAAGATAGGAAGGAAGAAAAATATGGAGCCAACATCTAGAATTCATTGCACACATTTATATTTGGAACTTGATGTAGAAAGAAAAGACCAAATTGATGAAAGTGAGTATCTGTTGCACCCTTACTCATGATCAGAAAGGAAACTTGAAAGAATCATTTGGGCATGTAGAACCAATTCACATTTCCTGAACCAATTCTTTGAGGGAATGTGAACCCACAGGTCCTGTAGAAAGCAAGTTCAATTTAATTACTCACCTAAAAAGTACATTACCCTAAAAACTTGGTGTGCTGGGAAGGAGGGAGATCAGGAAACTGGAAAGGACAGTCCAGAGGAAAAAGAATGGATTTCACAGTCAGAAAATGGGATTTATGAGTAGTGCTTCTCAGTGTGCCATCATGAACAATAGGTATTGTCACACAGGTTTTCACTCTTTGGTAGTAGAGACATTTAACCAGCCAGTTAAGGAAAAACCCATTCTTTCCAATACCAGGCTGTGATTTATGTAGGGAAATCACAGAGTACATAACCACTGATGGAATGAGCTGCCAGAATAATACCAAAATATTTCCTTTTCTTTATTTGTATTTCATTTTGAATGCTTTAAATCAGTCAGTTTATCCAGAACTAAACCCACCCCACCTTCCCTTCCAAATCCCATGAATTTCAAACATCTTAGTGCAGGTACCAGGAACTGGGTGAGAAAGTTCCTTTTCAGACTCAGGCACATAAAAACATTAGTTTTTCCTTCTTTCACCTCCCCCAGCTGCAAATGACATTTGTTCAGGCTGCTCCCCAGGTGAACCCAGGCATCTTTCCAAGCTTAAAGGCCAAAAGCTCACAGATGTCATATGTCCTTTCTGATATTTACAAACAAAATGAATGTTCAGAAGTCATTTTCATCTCCCTCCCTGTATTTGTCTTCAAGTGCACTTTCCCCCCCTCATTTTCCCTCCTTTTCTTCACTTTATCCACTTTTCCTTTTTAGCTTGCATGTGTTTCCATTTGCACGCTCTCCAAATGTATGCTGAGAATTTTATGGTGACTCCAAAAGACATGTGAGAAAAAATAGGTATCATAATGCTCAAAGAGTAAAAATGCCAATATTATACATTACAAAATATCTTCCAGACCCCACACCATGACTTAACTCTGTGCTGGAGGCTTTGGAACAGGATACCAAAGACTTTAACTTCTTAAAACTTCAGAATGTGAATATACTAAGCCAGCACAAAACTATTTCTGGGTTTGTTTTGGGTTGTGTTGGGGTTTTTTTTTCCTTTTTTTTTTTATTTTTCCTTTTCTTTTTTCTCTTGATCTCTTTTTTTCCTTGGTGGCCTAGTTTTCTGCTCAGCAAGTGGACAGAAAAGGCTCACTGAAGGTCAGATGAGTTCCAGAGCTGCTGCAGAGGAAGGTGAAAGAGAATGAAGTCAAAAGGAGGGAATGGGAAAAGAGGCAGGAAATGGGACCACAGCAGGGATCTCTTAGATCACCCCTGGCATTCATTTGGCCAGGGTTATATGTCAAGACCACAAAGTTGTGGCAATACTGAGTATTTTAAATCCTGGGAAATTATTTTACTCTCAGACTTCCCTCTTTTTGTTAAATTATTTCCTTATTCTTCCTGTAAAAGGACTAATTTAACAATATAATTTTAGTGATGACCACGAAAACAAATTCT